GTTTGGAAATGCAAAAGGAGAAAATTATATAAAATACATACAAACCTAACCTAATCCAGAACGAGATGGTAATTTCGATCAACCATGTGTTCTTTGTCATAACACAAAATACAAATATTGTATTTCGAATATTTCATGTATCTTTGTGCCTCAGTATTGCGTGTACACGCTGTATCATCAAATTTTCCATAAAAGGTACAAAGATGCCCAGAAGTAACCAACTCTCCTCTCCCTCATTCAATCTCTTATCATTTCTTGGCATTGGAAAACCGAACGCGATGACGCGACTTCATCGCGCGAGTCACGTGATAAAAGAATAGAAAAGAAAAAGCAAGAAAAAAAAAAAGAAAAGACAAGCAAAGAGGATATCGTGATGCGAGAAGGAACGTGCGTCGGATTCGTCGTTGACACGTTCGGTGAATGGGGAGACCGGTTAAACCGAGCGTGTAAAGTCCAAAACGTCGCGTGACTGCAAACGGCTGTTACACGGAGAAACTTGTACACGCGCGCACGCACACACACACACACACACACACACACACACACACACACGCAGAGCGCGGCGTGTGGAATGCCAACACGTCCGTTTGGTTCCTCGCGCAAACACCGGCGAAAGCACTATTTTCGCGGCGAAAAAAGCTCGCCCGCCAGAAATTGGTGACTAAGAACAGGTCGTTACCTTTGCAATTTGTGGCCGTCGTGTTTACTCTTTCACTTTCTCCGGCCAGGCCACGGGGGCTTAATGTTTTAGGCCGGCCCGCTTTAAATCACTGCCCTCGCCTCGGCCGCGGCTATTTCCGGCGGAATTGGAGCGGCCGATCGGCCTCGCGCGCGCACGTTTTTCCATCTACGCCGACCGATTGCACCCGCCCCCGTGTAATTTACGTCGATCGATCAGTTCGCGCTTCGTAACGTTACCAGGAATTTATTTTCTACCGTAGAAAGCAGAAATATATATATATATATTTCTTTTTTCTTTTTTTTGGTGAAAATTGATGGTAACGACGTGATCGATGGAGATTAAAGGCAAGCTCGCCCGTGGATTTTTCGAGGAAAAACGAAGTTCGGAATTGTTGGTAGATGTATCATCAATTACGAAGCACGTTGGTTGAAAGTTTATGAGTTTATTTCGATGATCATTTAAAACCGCGTCTATCCGTATTTTCGGCGCGGAATATAGTTTCGTATTCTTTTCGCGGGAATAATAACTTCACGACACGGTGTATTCGAGAGATTAAAAACAAAAGTGGCAGCTTCAAAGTTCTGAACGTATTAATTAGCTCGATACTTTCTTCGCGTTCTTCTCAATAAGCAGTGTAACCTCCTAGGGGATCAGCCACTTATTTCACACGATAACGAAGCACGGCAAACTTCTAACCAACCCCCGGGAAGTAATCTTTTTCTTTCAAAAAGAAAAAATTTAAAAATCCCTACTTCGGATGCCGCATTAACCCTATTCCTTTCCAATAAGTAGTATAAGCGCCTTAGAAGTCAGACGCCGTCCTATATTTTCACTAACTTCAGCCCCATCGCAAGCCCAATCTCTATCCCAAAAATCAATAACCAACGGCGCGAAACTTCGAGCCAATCTCCGCGAGAAACAATTCCTTTAAAACACTCGGAAAAATCCAACCGCAATGCTAGTCGTTAGAAATTCCCGATCGACTCGCCAGGGGAGGTGAAAGTATTTATCCCAGGTGTATCGTGAACCGGTTCTTTGATCTCTTTCAAATAGAACGAAGCTCGAAAGCACCGGAACAGCGATCGATTGTTTCACTGTCCCCGAGAATTCGTTGGTCCACGAATTTTTGGCCAATTATTACGACGATTCTAATAATTTTTTTTTGAACGTATTACATAGCCAAAGGGGGGGGGGGGATTGGTTGGAAAAGCATGGAAGGAGTTGATCCAGTCTTCCACTTGGAAGGGGGGGGGGATTGCTCTATCGGCAAAGATCTCATACATATTAATAGCGATCCGATCGATTTCGGGGGCGAGCTCGCTTCTTGCTCTGTTTAGGGACGTCGACGTTTCGGCGCGTAAGCCCTTCCGCTGGCCACAATGGTTATTATGCCATTAACGTAATGAAGTTAGGTGGTGGTAAAGGTTCCGGTGCCGGTCCGGGATGGCCCCAACGTTGTTCCAGATACGAAGAACGTGATAAAATAGAGAACCAGTGGCATCCAGCTACTCGATCGAACGACCATCTTTGCATACGTTCCTCGGTCAATTGAGAAGTCGTAGCGGTCGATGACGTAGGTGGAAAGAAAAATAAGAAGAACGAGTTCTTTTTATTTTTTTTTACCGAGGAAGCAATGAATCAGAGATATTTCAATTACAAGATTATCGTCTTTTAACTTTGAAGGGGTATCGTACGAAAGAATATCTGTACCAATTCGTTAGATCTAGGTTTATTAAATGGTATTTACATGTGAGCAGAGAAATTTGCCACTGTGAATGTAGATTTAGATTTTCATATTATAATATAAGAACTGATAAAGGTACCATGTGTGTGTTTGCTATTAAGTATTATAAATAAAGTCTGATTTTTTAATTTACATTATCTACCAGTTCAACTTCTCAATTGACCAAGAAAAAAATTATCTTAATCTTATCTAAAATTATCTCATCTTGATGTATAAAAAATCTTTAATCTAGTTTCGTCTGAATTTTCTGAGATGAAAGTTATAGAATATGGAGGTTTCTATTTATAACAGAAACCTTCTTCTTCTCTCTTATGATATACATATGTACATATTAACAACATCTCTTCTTTCTTATGATATACATATGTACATATTAACAACATCTCTTCTACTTTACACTTTAATAAAAAAGAAGACAGAACTGAGTATTACAAATTTCGAACATGCATGAAGGAAATATTATATTGTATTATATGGAGCGTGTAAATATGTAATTTCAAATTTTCTACATTCGTTCAGAAGTAGCCAATAAATTTTAAATAAGCGACGCGCGTTTCAATTTAATTAAACTACGTTACATTTAATTTCCAAGCCCAACAACACCGGCTAAAAATTTAATCGTTCCCCACGTCACTGTCACGAACAACTAGTTTCATGCGAATTTAAAATATTAATCGCCTATCAACGTTTGAATTTTCCATATGTTGTTGCGCACAATTTCGTCAACAGCAGGTCGTTTCTTTTTGTAACGAATCACCTCGGTTTAATCGAAGAAGAAACCAAAGGAAATGAATGCTGAAACAACGCTTATGCCAATAATCTTCTCATCTTATTCTGTCGTTCGTGAAATTAAATAAATTAAACAAATTTCATTGAACTCGCTGATGTTAGGAAACGCTTTTCTCTCAAAAATCTAGCGAAGCCAACAATTACCGTTGACATTTCGATAAAGTGAAACTTTCGAGAAACCGCTGTGGAAATTTATAAGTTTCCAATACACTCGACAAAAGTAAAAATAAAGGCTGACCATTCTAGTTTTATTTCTAAAACGAATGTTCGAACAACGAACCAGATTCATTTAAAGTATGCTTCCGTTTCGTCGGAGGTTTAGTTACGGCTGTTCGTAAAACAAGAGCAATCACGATCCACGATGTCGGTAACGTTCCGCGATTGTTGATACAAGAAATACAATCGGCAAACAGCAACGTTGTTGCCACAAGGAATTCAGTTTCCAGCCACCTAAACATATCAGTCGTGCGTCTTGCGCGTTGACTTAATCGATCTAATAGTAGTTACTCAGTCCACCGTGGGGACAAATTGTTTACCGTTTGCTCCAATCTATGTATAAGAACAATAAACGCTAATCGCGATGCATTAGCGAGAATCAACAAAGAAATCCTCCTGCGTTGCGTAAGTCTCCTTTGCCGCGAACTTTTTCCTATCCATCTGCTATCTACGAAGTTTTGAATAATTTTCGTCTGGTCAATTCGACTCGTTGGTCGATAAGCAAATAATTTTCACGCAGAGTGTATCACGCATAAAAGAAATTGACGCTCAAATTCTTTGTTTGACTCGCGCCAACAACACGGAACAACAAACTTTTCAATCAGAATCCGTTCAATCATTTTCAATCAAATGCGGAAAATTGAAAACTGCGCGAACCTTTTAATCAAAAAAACCTCGTAGGTATTTGTCGAGCATGCGTATTTGTTCGAAATAGGGGATCATGCTAATTCGCGTTAATCGAGCTTCCAGCGTTCAAACCGCGAAAATCGGGAATCCAGAGCCGATCATAAAACCGAGGATAATGCAACGTAGATTAATTATCGTGGTCGTTTGAAAACGCGGCTAATGCAGATTGGCAAATTACCAAGCGGAAAAAAAAAAAGAGGAAGATTCGTGTCGAGCGGAAAGGCTAGCAAACATTTTAACGGGTCACGTTGATCAGTCGCAATGACAAAATATATCATTAGAGCGCACCGTGCTGTTTGCTGTCTCGTTAAAATGCTTTCGCGTCCGAGTAATGTATGCACTTTGAGCCGCCATTAAGCAATGGTCCAGATATTTCTTTGTCGTGCGCGCGCGCCTTCTAATCGGTCCGGGAATTTCAACGAGAATCTCGCGAATTATCGTCAACCATTATTTCCGACTTATTTCAGACTCTAAGCTGCGATACTTTTTCTTTTGGTCATCTCTCGAGAATTATACATATATATTGTCGATAATGGGATGTGCTTTCTCAATCATTGTTATGTATTTCAATTTAATTTCGGAGGTATCGCTCTAAAGATTCAAAGTTGATGGCTCGAAATTCCAACAAAGCTCAGCACGCTGTTTTGCTGTATTAACTTTGAAAATTTGTTAATATTTGTTGATGTTAATAAAAGATGATCTCAAAACTGGACCTAGCCTCTTGCAATTCGTGAATTTACGAATTTCAATAATTTTAGAACGATCAAGGAACAACTCGGTCAAGATCAAGTTACGTCACCTTCTTTCGGAAAACAATGATCCACGTGTTTCACAGCGTTAGTGTCAGAGCTATTGAAGATAATGAAAAAAAATGTTACTCACCTGCACGTGGCTCCAGACTTTGGGCTTCGGGCTGGATCTCGCGTTGTTGGTCGCACTCGAATTCCCAGAGTTATTCGAAACGTTGCCAGACGAGGTCGTGGACTTGACGGACGGTTTTTGCGTTTTCTGTATCTGCGCTGTGACTGTGGTCGACGAATTGTTTCGTTGTTGCTGTGGCTGTTGCGCGGATGTCTGCTGCTGTTGTTGCTGTTGCTGCTGCTGCGTTTGCTGCATGATCTGTTGAATGAGTTCCAATTGTTGCTTCGTGAGGCCATCGTTGCTGGCGCCAGGGGACGTGGCACTCTGTGAAACAGAGAAACGAACATAAAAATACCAACAACAATTCGCAAAGACAATTCGGTTCAGCTTCGTGTGACAGAATCTTCGAATTAACATCGACCTGAATAATCAGAAGAAAAGATTCGTCGACACGAAATCTGACACAATATTTCAATTGTCCAGAGGTGAAGACTTGAATAAATAAAACGAGAAGCTTAAATAACGTTAAATTTGAAGCACGTCGCCTAGATGTTGGAGAAAGTGCGGATTATTTTTCTTATTCGTGGTTCTTGAAACTTTTCGAGTTGCTGGCCCACTTGGAAAGGAGCAAAGAACGAGTAATCCCGCATGGGAGAAAAAATTTCGACGCCGACCTAGAAACCTTAATTGATTAAAGCAATCTAGGTTGAAAATCTACTTCAAAACGGACAGCTTCGTTTCCCTGTTTAACGATCTGTTGCGGGAAACTTGCTTCGCCACGCCGGCTAAACCATGTGCCTGTCAAATGTTTCAGCGTTTGTATTTCATATTTAATTCAATAATAATTTGTGCGTACCATCGTTATATCACAACAGACACATTCGTTGCAACATACCAAAATACTGTACGCAGGAAAATCTGATATTAAATCATGTATCAAATCTTTACTCTTGCAATTAAATCATCATTTTGGTCTATCATGTGATTTACACTGACGTGGCTATCACGGAATTTTCCTTTAATTTTCGTAACATTTCGTGGCCAATCGTCACTCTGTCAGCAAATGAAAATTCCTCCTGGCAATGTCAGTTTTACCTTGCTAAGGCTCCTCTGTGAACAATCGTAACACTCGCGAAAGGGTGCTCTGCTCGTAAAATCGTAAACGCACGTGGCGCGCCGCGATGAAACTTGCAGATAACGCGTACATAGAGCAACGCATCCGTGCCACGTTTGCGAACCGTTGTTTCAGAGCAACACGACCTGGTTGTTTTACAGCCGAACAATCTCGCTGAGCGCGAGCTTCGTCCGCTTCGTTGCGGCAATTTCTCGAGATCGAAGCCCCCATGGCGACGCGCGACGGAGAAAAACACAGGGGGAAGTCGTGTTTTTATTTTATTCGGCTCGTATTATAGGACGTGGAGAAATAAAAATAAAAAAAAAAAAAAAACCGAGATACGACGGTAATTGGATTTTGTATATTTCTATAAAGCGCGAGACGACTATGGGTGTTACAAGAAGCTTTTATTGCAGTTGCTGCGGGTATTGGAATCAATTTTGTTGTTTTTTATTACGTTCGATACACGATAGACTCTTTCCTAGAAGGTAGTAGGGGTTTTTCAGTGTAGTATTTTATTCGGCGTAACGAACGTTGGAACTGTTAGAGTAATGAAAATGACGTATACGATTACGATTTCTCATAGAAACTCTGTTGATCCGCAAATCTTTTGGAGAACGAAGCTCATTGTATTAATGAGCTCTGTCCTATTTCTTTTTCACTTTCATTTTTCCGATGCAAGTTTCGTTTTGTTTTAGTCGTCGATAGTTCTTACATCAGAGCATGAATATGAACCTAACATGAAGAGATGTGTAAATGAATAATTTCTCTTTCAAGAGAAACGTGTTTTTTTGTATTTAATTGGAAAAGGAAATGTCGATATCTTCCTTGCCCTTTGTTCCATTAAATACGAAATCTTTATTTCCTTTTGACATCAGCTACCCTAACACACCCCATATCAACTCCAAAAACCAAAATCGAAAATCTGTTTCCCGTACTAGAAACCCAAATTTTTCACAAAACCGTCAAATTCCTGCCGCCCTGCCCCCCAACTCTAAATCCCGAAAAAATAATATCGGGGCGATAAATTCGGACGAAACGTTCCACGTCGGAAATAAAATAAAGAGCAACGAAAAAAAAAAAAAACAAGAGAAAGAGAGAAAGAACGCGGTCGAAGGAGAAGAAAAGGACAGGGATGAAAAAAGAGCAAGAGAGAAAGAGACAGAGGGAGAGAGAAATGGGGGGAAAGGGCGCGCGTGGATGCGTACAAACGGAAGAATGGCGGATGCGAGCAATGGTTGTCCTGCTCGTTGATCGTTTTTCAACGACTCACCATGGAAAAACCGTGGAGGACGAGCGCGATCTCCTTTTTTTTTTTCCCCTCCCTTCTCTTTCCTCCTTTTTCCTTCTTTTTTGTTCTACTCGGCGGAACGGCGAACGACGAGAGCAGTAACAAAGGGACACGACGAGGGGGTGAGAAGGGGAGAGGGCCCGGATTTCACGATTTTTAATTAAGAGACCGGTCCCATTGGGTTACCACGGACACGCCCGGCATGCCATTCGTGTCATCGCTTGCCGACCGATCCTTCGGACTCGGTTCCCAGAATTATTCGGGTGTGATCGCGGAAAGGCCGGCCATTCAACGCTTCCCTCCTCTCTCCCTCCCCCTACCCCTCTGCCAACCCTCGTTCCTGTGCAAGCGTTTTGGTTATTACCAACGGCACCGAGCCGAAAAATCTCCTGAACAACTGACACGGGAAACGGGGGAGAGATATGTGGAATACGCGTTTTTGTGTTACGCGGTTTCGTTGGTCCCACGGACTCGTCTGCGAATGATTAGCCGGAACGGTTAATTCGGCTGTTGCGCGAGACAGCGGAGATGTTGATTTTTCTTTTTTTTTTAATTTACAGATGATTTCTGGCTACGATTAGAACGTAGAAATATATTTTGTTTCTTCTTCTGCTTTTTTTTTTTTTTTTGAACGATTAGTAGAAAAGTGAATTGAAAGAACATTTGGAATTATTCGACCAATCGCAAGCTTCGAATGATAAAAATTACCGTGTCGTAGAAATTTTATGATTACACAAAGAACAGAAAACGTACGTTTATCTTCTTTTTCGTCCCAAAATTGTAATATTTCCTCAGTTTCAAGTAGAACAAAATAGGGAAAACAAGTTGCTTCTCAATAATTTCTATCCAGTGATCCATCGTACCGACGAGTTCAAAAAGAAAGCGACGAATTACTGCGTACGGCTCGGTCACTCGTTACGGTCCGCAATCAGTTGCCAGCGCAGGCGGTTAACACATTTACAGTCTGAAAATTTGACTTTGTGACCATTCCGTCATCATCGAGGGGCTCGAAATAATTCTCTCTCATTCCAGCCTCTCTGATGAAACAACAAAAAAGAACCAACAACAGAAAATTGAAGGAAATTTCAATTCCTGGCGAACGAGGCGTGCGTACGCGGTTATTTTACGACGGCTCTCGAGTTTCCACGGCGAGCAACGTTGTCGAAGGCAACGAAAGGAAGGAGGGCTGGATGAGGCAGCGTTGCATCCAGCTGACGCGAAATAATTTCGCCACGAGGGCAGCCGCTAATCACTTTTACGGGGACGCAGCGAGAGCACGAACCGTGGGACACCTAGAGCGGGCTGGCTGGCTGGCTGGCTGGCTGGCTGGCTTGCCCGCGAATTGGAGCGCCGATTAAAATTGGATTTGTTAATTAGCGCAGGGAACGTGGTGCGGCGGTGGCCGTTGCCGATCCGTCTCATACCTTATTAAACCTTCATTTCGTAATTCCCACGCTACCATTTGTCATCGCTGTAATCAGTAGCCAGTTGTTTTCCAGCGCGAGCGCGTTTTTCGCACGCTGAGGGCGAACTCGATCTCGCGCAAGATATTTTCACACCTCCGGTACCACGAACCGAAAAATTACGGCGAAATTGTTCGGTTTGTGTGTAAATTTTCGTCAAAATGTTGGCGAAATTGATTTCTCCTTCTTGTCTCGCGACAGAAGTTTAAATCGTCGTTGAACAATTGATTATCTACGTAGACACGCATATTTCATATTTCGTTGAAAGGTTTGGAGCTTGAGTTTAAATCTCAAAGAAGATAATAAACATAAATATTCAATTTACGACATTACCGAACATTCTCAAATGTCAAAACTGCAGTCGATTGAATTTAGGAATTACGCACTCGTAATTACGATACTCAGATTTTCATTTATGAAAATTTATTTATTCTTCATTCGCGGAGATTTATAGGAATATTAATTTCGTTTAAAATCAAGAAAATGTTTCAAACTTCCGCAGCGTTATATTTAATATAACTGGAAAAATAATTCTGTACTTTGTTGCGTATGACGTACGTGCACCTCGTTAAAAAAAAAAGAACAGTATTTAATACCTGTAATAACATCTTCACGTTAACAATATATATATATATATATATATTCTCGACATCGAGAAAGCCGATTTTTACTCGCCCTCTGGCAAAAATACGGTGCGTGCAACAAAGCCAGCCAGTTTCCTCGAACTATTCCACCCTACTGGCAGCAAGGGCGAGCGGCGTAGGGTGAAACGCTCGCTCTTAACTAATACACGGTCCGGTAAATATCGAATAATTATAATTAAACATTTAAGAGGGAAACGGAGGAATTAATTTCGTCCGTCATGAGGAATTAAACGCGTGAGATTGCATACGCGCGTACACAGTGTTTGTCTTCGAAATACACGCGGACCCCTTGCTCGGTTTTCGATCCCTTTAATTTTCTGCTTTGGCAACCGGTTTTCGGCGGCCACACGGTTTCGCTTATTATTTAATATCCAGACACTCTATGCTCGTATAAAAGGCATTGGAAAGATACACGGTTAACAGCAAGCCCCGTTTACGGTTAAAAACAAAGCGGGCCGGCGGCGTTTCGAATCGGTTGTTGACTTTTTTCTTTTTTTTTTTTTTTTTTCGCGAACGCCAGGTCGAATTGTGATTTCGAGCATGTTCCCGACCGGGAGCACAATGATATTGTGTGTTATTCCAATGCGGCGACGCACGCGAAGCACGGTGACGAGCGGGGGCGCGAGGCGAAAGTTTGCCGAACGATCACGATTGTTCTCGTTCAAGCGATCGTTACGTTATGAATTTTTTAAAAGCGCGAAAGCCCGCGTTAATTCGAATCTTCAACGCTATTTACCTTTTTATAGAGCGCGATACTTGCACGCTGAAGTGGCGAGAATCAATTTTTCTCTTCTCTCTTTATGTGTTTTT